ACTTAGAAAAATAATTAATAAAAGTTTTAATAGCATGAGCATGAATAAAACTCTTAAATAATAACAGCATTTGTATTAACATTGAATAATGAACCTTTTTCAGCTTTAAAATGGAACAGGCTTTCTCAATAGAATCACATATGCAATTTAAATAAGTGGGCAAATAAATAAAGATAAATAATCCAAGTATAATACAGTTTGACAATATTATAAGGTTTTCTTGGGTATTCTTTTCACTTGCAATCTTGTATTCTTATGAAAATCAAAAATAAACATAAAAAAAATATGTAAACATCACTTTTCTTTAGTATCAGTACCATGCCAAATTAGTAGTGTGACTCACACCCCTTCAAAGAACAGATTTCATGCACTACCATGTGTAAACAGAGGGACACCCTAGTAGCTGGTATCTCCCTCTCTACATTACCTTCAGCTGTCTAGCAGTTTCTCATATGGCTTTAAAGAAGGTTTGCTGTTGTGCAATTTTACCAGAAGATTATGAATATAATACATGACTAGAACTGAAGGTTTAGTAAATTAATATGTCATTCAAATCAAGGGTGGAACTAATTAATTATTGTTAGTTAAATAATTAGAACTGACATCTGCTTACTCACCAAAGTTCTTTTGTCTTTTACCTGAGTTTGGACTTCTGGAGCGGCTGTTGAAATCCAGTTATCTTTCACCAATTTAGCAGTTTCTGCTATGATTATTGGCAGAGTTACTAACAATCAACAAAAAAACTCTCTGTTTCTTCAAGTTTCAACCAAAAAAGTTTTTATGCAAAAATAATGGAAGATGACTACAGGTTAAAATATCGGTACCTTTAATGGCTAATAATCCCTACTACAGTATTACCGGTACTATATCTGACAACTATGTAAATGCAGCACACTACTGAAATTAAGCACAAAGTAAATGAAAAGCTAATAAAAGGGAGAAAAGGGGGATCTAAGAGTCATTTCAAAGAGTCCAAGTCTAAAGTTTTTAGGCTTGTTGATTAATGGATTTAAGGTGCCCTTTAAAATAGGAGCAGATAAATGTGAAGAACAACTGATCCACAAATCTTAACTGCAATCAAAAAGTGAAGGTTAATCTAGTTTTACAGTGAAAAATGAACAATGACCCGGAAATGCATTAAAATGTAGCAACACTGGAAAAAAAAAAGGCTATCTTAGCTGACACCAGGAGACCCGGCTACGTGGCGGACCATTAGAACCATATGTAGTAAACTTACAAAATGGCTGCCTTCATGTATAATTGCTGTTTGGCTGTGACATCACTCTGGAGAGAAACATGAGCTGTGCTACTGCCATCAACACCTTTGTTTATAGATGTTGGAGATCGGCCTGTTTTTCCAGTGTAGTCCTGTTTCTCTGACTGTGACAGACTGGATGTGCTCTCTTCATCTGCAATGGGAACTGGCTCGGAGCTTGTCTGCCTGGCTTTGTGTTTCCTGGACAGGGCCAACTTTTAAAGTTGCTTTTTGTATCTCTGCTTCTGTCTCCTCTGCCTCGGCAGATGGCTGCTCGCACTGAGCCTGGTTCTGCTGGAGGTTTCTTGCTGTTAAAATGGAGTTTTTCCTCCCCACTGTCGCTACAAGCATGCTTAGTGTGAGGGATTGCATCCGAGTCAATGAGTCGATGCAATCAACTGGTTTTCCTTAAATAGAAAACTTTCAATCAATTTTTCTGTATGATCTGGTGAACTGTCAAGTGCCTTGAGATGAAATGTGTTGTGAATTGGCTCTATAGAAATAAACTGAATTGAATGTATACCTGACCAAAATGAGGTAGCTTGATGCTAACAATGCTAGCCTATCCAACTGCAGCACCCTGTCTTTTTAGACAAATTGAAGAAAGAAAAAAAAACACACAGTGCCGATCGTTCAGTCAGGGCTGGGCAATTAATTGCATTTACAATCAAATTGTAATTTATGAAAAAGCAATTTTTTAAATTGCAGAGGCACTCAATTTTAGTCCCATTAAATTTAGCAAGATTAAAGGGCGAGAGTTGTAGTTACCACACGAATCCATATATGCAAGTAGAAGTAAGCACCTTTTCACACAAAGGTTACATTAAAATCCTGCAACAATGGACTCCTTTCAAGCAATCATTTAAAAACTGAAAGCGTGCAAAGGAAAAATGAATAGTCTTCTTCCATGATGATAAACATGTAACGGCCCTCATAGGAAGTAACGTGTCCCCTTATCTCCCACAACAGTTTGTATTTCATTTTATGTCAACAGTAGGAACAATCTCACCCTTTGATGACATTTTGGGGTTATTGGAGATTGCTTTTAGTATTTTTTGGTCTGCTTGGCCAAACTGACCAGGGCTCAGATCTCAGCATGGTGATCTCTCCAGATGATCTGTACCTGTGCCCAGATTTTAGCTATATTGACTATGTTTAGTTTAATTTAAATGTATATAAAGCATCTATATCTCCAGATATGTTATACAAATGAATACTAATAATTTCCCTCTCTCATCTGAGCTCTATTTCTCCCTAAATTTATATTTCTTTTCTCTCCCTGCAGATGGAGCAAGGATCGCCTCCTCTACGGGCATAGACATCCTTCTGCTGGATGATTTTAAGCTCCTCATCAATGACACCACGCATATTGTGCGACCACCAAGGAGAGGTTGGTACCAGCAGAGAGAAATACGGGTTTGTTTGAGTTGATTCTTCT